ATATACTGAGGTACAAAATTCATAAATAAATTTTATTATTTTATATTATCTTTTTATGTAAATTTAATGCAAAAGAAATGGAAAATTGCCCGTCTTACAATAGAGTGAAATGGACCTTCCACAAAATTGACGATAAATATTTTGCACAGAATTCAGTCTATACCAGGCAATAAAAGTTTTCTTATCGAATCTACCTACGCGGTCTTAATTAACTACCTATAAACCGGTATATATTTGTTCTAAGAAAATAAAAACTCTACTATATAATAATAATTATACAAATTTCCACACAAACAACAAATTTGTTTAAAATTATATGTCGATATCTAGTAGATATTATCTACTATGTACATATGTGTAAATGCACTTTTATGTAAAACACGTTGTATGTGGCGCCCATATCATATTGTGCAACAAAAGCAAACTACCATAAAACTCCTACCTTAAAAAAGCTCATATAATAATAATCCTTTATCTTCTAGCAAATGCCCACACATTATCACAAAAATTGTAGCGGCATCGCGCGCGATTTTATCGAAATCGATCGTTACAAAACCCGCAAACCGAAACTGACTGATTTCCTAACCGTCATGTGTTTGTTGTTATACAAGGCCACTAGATTGACTCGGGCGCCCACGGCACACCACGATGAATGGCTGTGTGCTGTGTACTCTCGCACACACATACACATATGTTTGTGTTTTTCTGTACGAGTACATCCTGAATTAGAAGTATGTGTGGAAGTTTTAGCTGGGAAAGCGTTTGGTTAAACGATTCCTGCTGTCTTAAGGAGCGGCAGGTTGCGTGCCAGCAGGACGTTGCTATGCGATTTTTTTTTTGTTGTGGCTTATAGATTGTCTTTGTATTAACCCCTACAGCCAGCAAAAAAAGTGAAATAAAGAAATCAATGAAAAATTATCCAAAAACACAAATGACAAAAATATTAAAAATTAAAAAAACAATATTTATTTAAAAATTGAGTTTAACGCCATTTGTGTTTTTAGCGACTATATATTAGCAAAATTTTAAATTTAACCCTATAAAAAAATTAAACTTTCCCCAACAATACAGTTAAGTAGATGTACCACTTGCAATAATATTCCCTACTTAATGCTATTTAAACATCTTAGACTAAATGAACATCCTCCTTTTTTTATACAGTTGAGAAAATATTCCAAATATTACAGAAAAAGCTTATTTATGGTAATATTTAAAAATACAAGTGGTTAAAATAACCCCTGAAGTTTTCCCTTAATTTTGGTCCCCTGGGTCACGTCTCCTGGGTCACAGCTTTTATAAATGACCTTTTGAATTTTTTGGTAACGGATTTTTATACCAACTTGGCAAAACTGTGCATTCTCCTGTGTCACAGTAATAAAAATTAGTAAAGGTTGGACTTTGTTTGATTCTCAAAAGAGTCTCCTAGTAATGGTTTTAAGGGCCAAAATACAAATTTTTATATTTTAATCAGTAAAGAGGTTATGTTCTAAATACATACATTTTTCCCCTGGATCACATATTGTGTGACCCAGGGAAAAGTTATGTGGCCCAGGGACAATTCCAAAGTAATAAATTATAATATATTTTTGAAATAATAATAAACTCATAGGAAAGTTTTAAAAACAATTTTTTTTTCACCTTTTCTGTTTTTGACAGTACGTAGCCAATTTAAAATAATGCCCTCCACACCTTTTTAATAGTAATTTTTTTAGTCAATGTATTTTGCCTCAAAGAAGCTGGAAAAAATGTTTGGTAGTTTAACGAAAGAATGTTTATATTGACTTTTTATTATTATTTTATTAATATTACTAATGACTAAAACTTTTTATTAATTTATTGCTCGTTAAATTGGACAAGCTGGGCCCAGATAAAAAATCGAGAAAAAACGTTTTTAATAGGCACTAAAAGAAAATTTCTTAAACTCACCTTTTTTAATAGACACCATTTTATGCACGAATTTAATTTAGGCACGAGCGAGCTTGCGAGCGAGTGCTTAAATTAATGAGTGTATAGAAAAGTTTATAAACGAGGTGCATACTATACTTTTTCTACGACAAATACCTATTATTATCTTAAAATGATTTAAATCAAAAATTTGTATAGAGCGCCATCTATGAAACAATAGGGGAATCTGTGTGTCACCGTCAAATCATTGAGTAAACACTTTACTCAATGGTCAAATGTCAAATTTTTAAATTTTATAAACACAATTATAAAGGTTATAAATTCAAATGTATTTCTTGAAAATTGACAGTTTTTCACAGTGAAAGTAAAGAAAATGTTTTATGAGCGCTTTACAGTGGAGTCCGTGCCCAAATTTAAGTTATAGTTTACTGCCGGCGAAATTAAAAGGTCAGTACAATGTTCATATAAACTTTTCAAATATTGGCGTTGATAAACTATTTAATACTTTTTTATTTTTGTATTGAGATAATAAAATAATTTTCACATTTAGTATTATTTTACAAGAAAGGCAATTTATTTTAACGATTGTATGACATTTGACAACTGTCAACTAACTTAAAACTAACTTCAGCCCGTGACTAAAAACCTGTTGCTAACTTCAGCCCGTGACTAAAGCGCCATAAAGCCACAACTTGTCAATGTGTATTTAAAAGGTCCCTTAGTGTCATGGAAACATGACATACGATAAAGGGCGTTTTAAAGGTGGGAGTAGAAAAAATATATTAAAAATACTTATGTACATATGTAAGAAAGTTGAGAAATAGAACATAGTTTTTTCTTTTACTTAGTTTTGTACTTAAAATTTGTTATAAATTATAAATTTATATTCTTTTTTCAAAACAAATCCTAATGTAAATAAAACCTTAAAAGGATTATTAATAAGCAAAAAAATATATTTTCAAAATAATTAAGCCCACCAAAAATACACTTTTTATAGGAAGCCCTAAAAAATAATATTTTATATTTTCATGCAAAATGTTTAGAAAATTCTAAAAAACGTGGTATTTAAAATACATATACATTTTGAGCTAAAACAAACAAATATTGTTTGGTGTTTTGAACAATGGTTTTTGAGTTTGCCCAAGTTTAGGTAAATATTTTTAAATAAAATTCCTGTACAGATAACAGTATTTAAGCTAATACATATAAAACATGTAATAATAAATCCTTAAAGATCATGGAAAAATGTAACTAATTATGACAAGTTAAATCTACTGCTATAGCAAAAACGAAGAAAATTAAAATATTTTTATTAATCAGAGCATATCTATGATATTGTTTTGCTGTGTTGGTTTAATTAAATTTATTTTGTTTTGTGACATATCATATTCATAACCTAATTGGCTAGGTAGGGAAATTTGAATATCAAATGATTTATTATATTATACCTGTCTATTTATCAAGAAATATTTACTTTTATTTATGCGTTTCTGTCTAAATTTACTTGACCCCAATCGAGAATAATTTATTTCACACTTATGTACTTTAAAAAAATGTAACCTAGGATTCTTGATTCTAAGAATTTTAATTAGGTACAACAAAAAATGTAAAATAGTAAAATCTCCATTACAAAATCATTAAAACATTTTTGTTATATACTCTCGTATCAAAATAGTCGACAAAATGGGCCACATATGTTTTGCTTCATCATAAAATACAAACTTAAATAATAACTCAAATAAATCTGACATTTTATACCAATTAAAATACCGGGATTATCCGCTAATTTTGGTGAGTATCGTAAACAAATTTCGTTAAGAAAATGCTTTTAAGGTAATCGAAGGCCGCTAAATTGTAAAACGTTTGAAAGTAAAACCATTAATAAAAATATATCCTACAATAATTTATTTAAATTTAAATTGGGTAAATAATTACCCAATAAGTTTGATAGGTGGAAGCTTGACAATATTTTTTAACACTTTAATGTTGATTTGTGTATGGTATTATAATATGTAATTATTAATTACACAGTGCAACAGTGCAAAAGGGAATGGAATGAAACCAATAGCAAATGAAAGGTAATAACTTTAACAACAAAAACCTATGAGGTTTTTTTTAGATCACGTCTCAGTTTTTTATTATACGCATTTAAAGTTGGTAGATTTTTGGACACCCTATAGTATGAAAAAATTAAGTAAAACAATTTTAATTTTTTAAAATTATTCTGGCAATATAGTCGAGGAATCCATGTTTTACGTTAATTTTTACTTAAGATCTCCGGGGCACACAATTGTTGCTATTTTAGTATTTTTATTATTTTTGAGGCTGAGAAATCCATTTTTGTTGTAAATGTATGTATGTATACCCTTGATGATTTTCCAAAGGAATATTCATTATTTATAAAGAGCATTTTTATTAGAAAATTTGGCATTTTTATTAAAAAAAAATATTCTCTTTAATGCTTTAACGAAAAAACATGTTATTATTTTTAAATCCGTAAATTTATTTATACTTAAACAATACAATATATTACTACAAAAAATTGTAGTTTTGTGGCAAAAACGACGTTGTTTAAGGTAAAATTGATTTGTTTACTTAAAAACACACAGTAAATCAGTGACAGCAATATAAAGCGTTCTTCTTAATTAATAAAATTAATTTAAGTTATTAAAGTTAAAAATGAATGAATGTTTAAAGCATTTAAAATATTTTTGTTATATTTGTGGACAATATAATAGAAAACAAAACTTAGTTCCAAAATATGAGAAAGTAAAACAATTGTACCTACAATATTACGGAATACATATAATTGAAAATGTTGATTGGGTGCCTAGAAAAGTTTGCAGAACTTGTAATAACAATTTAATTAAATGGTCTCAAAAGAAAAAGGAGTCAATGAAATTTGGTGTTCCAATGTTGTGGTATAATCCAGGTAATTTTTATAATAAAACATAAATTCTCTATTCGTATTTTTGATGATTTTAATTATATTTTGCATTTTTGTAAATTTTTAGATGAACATGATCAATTAGAGTGTTCTGTGTGTTTAAATAATTTTAAAGGAAGAAACAGAAAAACTCGAAAAAACTTGCAATATGTTGGTACAAGATACGCAGAATTACCAAAACCACATACAGAGTTTGTTCCAATACCAAAACCAAGACGTCCTAGTGAACTTACTGGTTGTACCACTACCATTGCAGATACATTTACTTTCGAAACTGATCCTGATTTCACTCCATCTGAAACTAGTAATCAAATGATACCAATAACACAACAATGGTTGGATGAAGTGCTAAGACATTTAAATTTGTCAAAGCGAGATTCAGAATATCTAGCACAAAAACTAAAACAAAACAATTTATTACAGTCTAGTGTGAAAATAACTGGTTATCGTAATCGTCATACCATATTTCAACAATATTTTACCGCTAACGCTGAAAATACATTCGTCTACTGTAATGATATTGGAAAACTTATTACAGAAATGAATATTAATTATGTTCCTCATAAATGGAGATTGTTTATCGATTCTTCAAAAACAAGCTTAAAAGCAGTGTTGTTGTACTACAACAATAAAAAGCCAAGTATTCCAATTGCTTATAATACAAATACTAAGGAGACTTATGAATCAGTTAGAAATATTCTAGAAGCAGTAAACTATAATAACCACAAATGGCGTCTCTGCTGTGATTTAAAAATGATTTCACTGGTTTGTGGTTTACAAGGAGGTTACACAAAAAATATGTGCTTCATTTGTTTATGGAATACTCGATACAAAGGCAATCAATACCAAAAACGTGATTGGGACAACAGACATGATTATGTTATTGGAGCAGCTAATGTTATTCATAATCCTCTTATATCACCAGATAAAGTATTACTACCACCGCTTCATATAAAATTGGGTATTTTCAAAAACTTTGTTAAAGCCTTGCCTGTAGAAGGACAAGCTTTTACTACATTAAGATCTAAATTTCCACGACTTAGTGCTGCTAAAGTAAAAGAAGGTATACGAATAAAATAAATATTTTAGAAATATGTATTTACATTTTTTATTTTGTAGGTATGTTTAATGGACCTGATATAAGACGACTTATGAAAAATTATGAATTTGATAGATCATTAGATCCAAAACAACTAGTTGCTTGGCTCGCTATTAAAGATGTTATAAGTAATTTTCTTGGTAAAAAAAGAGAAGGTGATTATAAACAAAAAGTTGAAGATATGTTGAAATCATTTGAAGAACTAGGTGTAAATATGTCACTTAAAATACACTTTCTTCATTACCATATGGATTATTTTGAAAAACAATTGGCTGAATCTGACGAGCAAGGTGAACGTTTTCATCAAGTAGCATTGACGATGGAATCTAGATATAAAGGCAAACATCTCGATGCTATGTTAGCTGATTTATGTTGGTGGTTAAAACGAACCACCGATGAAGAAAAAAGTGATAATGAATTACCAGAACAAGATGAAGCAATGGATGTAGATCCAGTAGCTGGAACTTCTGGTACTTCAACTCGTGTTACTGCCGGTTACAGCAGTGATAGTTTTTAAATATGAATAAAATTTAATAATGTTTAGTTTAAGAAGTCAATTTTTCATTTAAAAAAGTATTTTTTTGTAAGAAAGACACCAGTTTTCTATCCTAATATATCAAAAATATTAAAAATTGCTTTTGAATATCACCTAGGGTATTTTACAACAAACGTATGACAAAAATGTATTTCTCACCTTCAAAAATAGTAAAAATACCAATTAATCAATGAAAATACGTAAAAAGTAGCAAAAATTGTATAATAGCATCCTCTTCTAAGGGTAAAATTGCCAAAATTATTTTGAAAAATTTACATAGTTATACTTAATTTTTTTCTACTTTAGGGTGTCAAAAAATTTACCATCTTTAAATGCGTACAAAAAATAACTGAGACGTGATATAAAAAAACCCTGATAGGGTTTTCTTGTGGACACTATTAACTTTCATTTGGTTTTGGTTTTATTCCATTCCCTTTCCTAAACCTTAATTTTGTGTCACAGTGTTATTATTCATCAAAATCATAAAAAATATTCATAGATAAACTTTATATATTTAGCTCTCTTACGTAATGATTTTTTTGTATAAGGTTATGACCGATAATGATTATAATATTTTAACGTCAAAAATTATCCTTTTTTAAAAGATTACAGATACTGATTGACGTCAGAATTCAGGTGCCTTTTGGGTATGAAAAGAATTTTAAGTACCTCAAAAATGTTGACCTTTTATTTTGGGGGAAGTAAACAAGTATTTCCTGTTGGGTAGGTAGGGAAAGACTGCTTATTGTTAATTGCTGCATCTTGCTGCAGATTTTAATTTTTTAACAAGTATGCATGAATCATACTTAAAAAATCAATTTAAATTATTAATACCTATCGAGCTGGGTGCCTTAGGGGCATAATTAATCATTTAGCCAGGCTACAGGTTTGAAATATGAAAAGAGAAAAAAAATAGTAGTGATGCTCTCCTCTGTGAGATTTCGTAGAATCCGGATGAATCATACAGGTGGAATTGCCGTCCATGACTCACCCAAACGATTTTTTTGATACTGTGATCAATATTTGCTTGTAACTTATTTTTATAATTAATAATTTGTTGTAATCTAATTTTGTAATTAGTCTTGTAATCATTTATGTACCTACAAAGGATGGTAAAGATTTGATTTGAACAACAAATGTTTGTTTAGTAAATTTTTCGATTTTACTTTCTTAAGCTAGATTGTCTTTGATAAATTTAACTAAATATATTATATATATATATTATATATATATATTATCTCCACCGGAACAAATTTGCACAGTATTTAAGTTTTACCATACGTTTTGTGTTGAAATGGACTTCACAAGATTATTTTAAGTGCAATAATACAATATAATTTAACCCATCTTAAATTTTATCAAGGTTAAACTTAAAAGCATTTTTAATTAAAAATAATTACTTTTTTAACAATTGTTTCTATTTGTTAACATTTTTAATTTTTTTTTCATTCTTTCACTTTTAATATAAACATCAAATATTTAATTATATACCTACATATTAGTAAAATGAGTAATACCTTTTAAATATTTTTTAAATTTGTTTGTAATAATAAAATTTATTAACAAAATATTGTAGCTTTATTGTAAAATAGTTATTTATATATCAAGGCAGTAAAGTCGTATTTTTTTAAAATTATTTCATTTAAAGTTACTTTAATGCCTAGGTGCATATTAAATTTTATCCGATATCACATTTAAAAATACTAATAATTAATATTGATGATTAAATCAAATGTCATTTAAATGTAGGTGTCAAAGTCAAAGTGTCTACGTATACTGTTTGTTGCGACGGTTATTTAATTTAATTAATAAAATTAATAAATAAATTGAATTAATAAAATTAACTTTATTTTTATTAAAAACAACATTTTATGAAAGGGTCCAATTAAGGTTTATTAAGGGTACATATTATTAGTTGCTGCCTAGAAGCAGTAGACACATCTTAAAATGTATAATGGGTTGCATACAATACTCGTATTAAATCGGCAGTAAAGTTCTACTTTACTGCCGATTACTTTTACTGCCGATTGTTGACCACTTTACTGCCGATTTCGGATAAATGTTTTATAAAACTAAAAATTAATTTTAAACATAAAATATTAAGTAAATTTATCAACAACATATCGTTTTTAATAAAAGTTAAAAATGTATTAAACTATAATTATAATAACTAAATAATAATTTTATCTTGATCTTTATTATTATAACAAGATTGTAAAAAAAAATATCCCACGCAAAAAATAAAACATTTTGTTAACCGTGAAATTCTTCAAAATATTTCACCAGATTTTTTACATTTACCACCTACTCCCAAAAAATTTTAGAAAATACGGAATAGATTTATTTACTTGAATGAATGAATGGAATAAAATTAACTTTTATAATTAATGCTGTTTTGGAAATTTATCAGGAAACTTGTTCAATTTATTTATTAAAAAAATGTGTACATTTGAATTATTTAATAAAATTTGAACCGGATCTCATAATTTAGGCTTATATGTTTTGTTAACAAGTTCAATAAATATTTAATATTGTAGTTGTGGGTTTTACAAATTTTGTTTATTTATGTATGTCAAGAAAAAATATTATTGGTTTAAATAATACTGCGATGCACTTTATTATAAAACAAAATAAAAATTGCTGTCTGTTACAGATGTTATTAATGGAAATATATTTTTGTCATAAAGAACATTTACAATTTATTTTAACTTCACTCAAAAATATTTTTTTCATGTAAAAACGTAAGTCAGCTAATTAAAACAAATGGGTTTAAAAGCCTTAGATCTGCGTTACTTGTGTATTAAAGTTCGGAAGTATTAATTATAACGCACGATGAAAAATTAAAGTGGCCACATTTTACTCGCCTCTTTTATGTTTGACCCATTTATTTATAAACACTTCAAATTAAGTTTGCCAACAAATTATGTGTTTTCCCGAGAAAATGTTGTTTTTGTTCTACTTACTGAAAAAAGATTGGATTTGTAAAGGAATGAACATTACCTGAAAAAAAAATTAGAAATTATTTATTTTATTAAAAACATCATAGGTATATGCAACTCCAAACTAACAAACAAAACTTTTTGTTCTATTTGTTTCAAGTATAGCCGCCCATTTGTCTAGACTATATTTGTTCTGGCATCAAATTACATTTTAATCTGTATTGCCCATAGAAATGTATACCGAGTTTAAAAACAGTTAACAAATTTAAGTAGGTAAACTCCGATTGTCACGCTGCATTAGCATTTTATGCGGCAATAAGAAATTCGATCACAAAAAGCTGTAAACAATCGTCAATAATAACATTTAGTTGTTTATTAGGTCTCTTGAACAATAAAAGTATTGTGAATAATCTAGACCAATCAGGTGAAGTTTTTACATCCTAATCTGTAAAAAAATCCGTTATGACCAAAAAAACTGCTGACATCTCTGAGCTATCTAACCTCACTTTTCCCAAGTGGCACAGCTGGTTAAATTAACGTAAAATTTACATCATGCCTGGTTAATTCATTTAAGTAATATTTACTACAATGTTAAATTAACCTTAAATTAACGTTACCTATTTTGTAAACAATTATAATAAAATTAACGCTGTTAGTTAAATTTAACTACTTGGTTAAAAACTCCTTTTAACTCTTGACTTAAACTTAAACTATAATTAACCAATTTAAATTTGTTTTAACTCTATGTATACATAATTATAATCAATTGATATCTTAAAGAGACAGTTTCAAGGGAAAAACCAATGAGAAATTTTTTTCTGATAAATTAGTACATAATACTTTCATATTTTAAATGCGCTTTGAAAAAAAAAAAAAGAAATTAAGATTATAAAAAAAAAAATATTTTTTTTCCTAATTTGTTTGAAATTGATTTAAAATATTTTTAAACATAAAATAATACCAGATAAAATACCAGTTAAAATATATTTTGTAAAATATAAATTGTTTGTTACAAAACTATATCCAAATTAACCAAAGCTGTGGTAAATTTACCAAAAAGTAATATCAAAAGTTAAACTAAACCAAAATATGTCTAAAAAATAACTAGTCTTAACCATTTTCAAAGGTTTAAATTAGAAGTTAATAAAACGTTATGTAACTTCTAAAATAACCTACTTTTTAACTTATAAGTAATATTACTAATTAGTTAAATATTTGTTTTATTTATAGTCAATTTAAACTTTTAAAATAACCTTAATTTACCTAACTAACTATAGTTAGTATAGTATAAGTTAATATAACGTTATGTAACTTATGAAATAACCTACTTTTTAACTTATAAGTAATATTACTAACTAGTTATTAATTAACGTTAATTTACCAGCGAGTTAAAATATATTTTGTAAAATTGTTGGTTAAAAAACTATATCCAAATTAACCAAAGCTGTGGTAAATTTACCAAAAAGTAATATCAAAAGTTAAACAAAACCAAAATATGTCTAAAAAATAACTAGACTTAGCCATTTTCAAAGGTTTAGATTAGAAGTTAATATAACGTTATGTAACTTCTTAAATAACCTACTTTTTAATTTATTAGTAATATTACTAACTAGTTAAATATTTGTTTTATTTATAGTCAATTTAAACTTTTAAAATAACCTTATTTTACCTAACTAACTATAGTTAAATATTTGGTTTATTTATAGTCAATTTAAACTCTTGAAATAACATAAATTTACCTATAGGAAAACTATAGTTAGTAATATTACCAATAGGTTTATCTCATTAGTTAAATTATGCTAAAAAATAACCTTTGAATTTACCTTAAGGTTATAGAAACCGGTTGGTAAATTTAAAGGGTTATTTTTTAGTTCATAGTAACCTTAAATCAAGTTTAAAAAAACGTTATTTTAGTTAGATTTTGGTTAATTTACTTAAAATACTAGTTTTGCCACTTGGGTATACTCAGAGCTGGGAGTATCCTAAAAGAAGATAATTAAAAGTAACTTAAATACTTAAAGTATTTAAGATACTTTATCTTAGATACTTTTTATATTGGACATAAAGTATCTATAACTTTTATCTAAAAAAGTACCTTAGTTACTCGGTAAAGTAACTAAGATACACTCAGGTAACTTATATACTTTTTAAAGTAACTAAGATACTTTTCAGTGTAACTTAGATACTCTCTTAGAGAAAATTGGGGATTCCAGAATTATTCAAAGTAATTACCTAACCTAAAACTTGTTGAATTTTCATAATATTATAGTTATTATTTATACTACTCAAAAGTATCTCAGATACTTTCGGATAGTATCTTAGATACTTTCTAAAGTATCTTGTAACTAAAGATTCTTTCAACTTAAAGTATCTAGTTACCCGAGGTAACTAAGTTATTTTGTTTAAAGTATCTTAGAAAAGTAACTAGATACTTTTCAGAAGTAACTTTCCCAGCTCTGGGTATACTTTAAATAATTGTCATTATAATTATAAATACGTTAAACAAATAAAACTTTGCCTTGAAGATCAAATTTTGTATGCCATTCGATGTCTTTTTGTGCTTTGTTCAAACTTTGAGTTCAGCACAAAAAACTTACTTCTCATCCTTATGACATAAATAACAAACAAATAAACACATAATTGATTATCAACAAGTTTGTTTACAACAGCTTGGCAAAATTGCTACCGGGAAACCGTTTTAATAAATTTACCTTATCAGCATAATGTTATAGAAAAAGAATATCAGGCGGCTGTGCTCTGGACGTTGGACGAGTAACCGAACACCCGAAGAATTTTATCGCGTCTTTGCTAGCCGAGCGAGGCGATAAGACCGCGTGCACAATTGATCCAACGAATCGTGAAACATAAACTGCAAGCATTTTGATGTGGCTTGTGCCGCAAATGATAACGCGCCAACCATGAGCGTAGCATGCAAAATTATCGACAATTTTGAAAAAATATTTTTTTTAATAATTGCAATGCTACATAGCTCTAAGTAATCTAGGCAACCCACATTACACGTGGATGCAATATGCAACGATGCGTATTTTCTGGATAAAACTAGACTATATCTACTCTCTTAAAATGAAATAGTCAAAATTCTGCTACTTTACTAATAAAATAGTCGCTTTCACTTTTAAATAGTTTTTATAGTTATTTTTTACTACTTAAATAGCTACACAAATAATATATTCAACTTTAAAATATTATGAGCAACATTTATAGACGAATAAAATTGATTTTAATAAAAGTGACTGATGGCTCATTGGTTATGACATAAGATTGACAAGCGACAGACCATGGCTGGGTCAGAACTTTTTTTAAATTTAAATCTACTAATTTGACTATTTCATTCAGTAGAATTTGACTAATTATTAAAGACTGCTTTTTACTACAGTTCTCTTAGTGTACGTGTAGATAAACTTATAGTACTTTTTGGAGAAAAAAAATATTTTACAGTACTCGGACGCCTGTTGTCTCCCACCTACCTCTCCATCTTTTCTTAGGTAAAAATGCTGACGACCGATAAGCGACAAAGATACGGTGCACGTTTGCAAAAAATGATGTGGTAACCCGAGAAGATGCAACAGGTGGTAGCGAGTTCAAAGTTTTTTCCGCACATATCGTACCGAATGTGTGTAAGATTTCTGTGACATGTATACGACACCCTTCTACTATTTTTAATTAAATTCAGGACTAATTGTCACGCCTATTTTCATTTTGTTTATGTTTGGTATTCTGTTACAGATTTAATGCCTTATACGATACAATTATCTTGTTATATTTGATACTAATGTAAACAAAGGTTTAGTGATCTTTTTTACTTTGTGTCTTATAATATCATATGTGTTGTGTAATGAGAAAATGAGAAAAACTGAAAAAGGGCGATTTAATGTGAAAGAAACCTGGGAACCAATACTGTTTTAGCGGTCTTAATAATGTCGAAGTACATATTTACAAAATTAAAAATCAGGTAATATTTTTCTAAAAAAAATTTTGTCTACATGTCTATACAATTTTTAAAATCAAAACCATTTTTTATTTTGTGATACATCAAAACAAGTTTATTCTTACGTTTGGGTTGTAATTTCTTCAAACCTCTGATAAAGCCGTTCTCAGAAATGATTCAAATTCAGCGCATGGTATTTTTAATTTTATTTATTAATATAAATATTTTTAAAATGTTATCTGGACCATGTTATCAGTTATTTATTTAAAAAATAAAACATAATTTCAATCTCTTTAATGTTGCCGACATATAGTCATTATTTTTACAAATATTTTGAAACAATATTTTAGATAATGTAAATTCCACATTTATTAAAAACATTTGTGATCGGTCATGGGAGAAGGAACCTTATCTTACTCAAGCAAAATTTTCAGGAGAGCGTCAAAAATATCTATTTTTTGTTGTAAATTGATTTTGACATATCTATCTATCGATATAAGATGGAAAAGGAATCTTAATTTGTTTAAGAATTCTTAATTCTTATAGGTACTATAGGTACTCTATTTGGGATTAACAAATACCTGTGCTCTATATTTTGCTTTACGAATTATCACAAAAAAATATTTAAAAAATGATGGTTTATCGACCTCATCAGATTCCTAGATCCATAACAAAAAAATTGGGTGGATATTCCTTTTCCTCTTTTAGAAACGTAACCCAACAAGTTACAAAAAATGCAAAAACTGAATTTTGACCCCAATTAAGATCCCTTCTCCCATGACATTTTATTTTCACAATAAAACCTAGTTTTCCAGTAAACACATTAAGTAAATAAATAAATAATTAAATGACGCAACTAAATAAGGAATTCCAAACCTTATCATAAACCACTTATTAAAATTGGTAAATAAACAAATTCATTCAATTCCATATTAATAACATTGTAACATATACAATGTTATATGGACCACACACACGCTTTAATAAAGTTATCTTTATTTATAATGGAAATGGTTTTTTTCTATTCCACATAAAATGCAATAAAATTAATCACATTTTATAGGAATTTAATGTGTACAATTTTAACTACACAAAGACATTTATAATGTCATAAAATGTTAAACAATCATTGTAATTATTACTTTATTAGCGGGGCGGGCATTTTAAAGATCAAAGTTTTTTATTTTATTGCTGATTTTATTAATACAAAGTTGATTTTAGTACATTGCAATTACTTTTATTAAATGGTGATATGATTATTTTATTTGTTTTCTTACTTAATATGCTAAACAGGGACGGAGCGAAGGTTCCAGATTTTTTCAAAATTAGTATAATATTAAAATTAGTATAATAAATTAGTTAATTGATTAATGTTCAATAATAATAACACTTACTACTGGTGTTTTTTAATTATAATACTCTTAAAATTTTATACATAAAAATTAATAGAAAAATTAAGAATTAAAAGTGCTGGTTTTAGTCAAAACAAAGTTTTATATTTCGGTGTCAATGATTTCGTGGGAAAATTATAGAAAAACTCGTAATTACTATATTTTATTTTAGGTTGAATCAGCATTTTTTTCCATAAATGCATTGTCAAATATTGGCGATTTAGAAAGGTAAGTGAAAAATTACCGTGTGAAAATTAAATTAAATGTATGTTATTTTAAAAATAATCTCTTAAAATTTAAATATTCTAATATTTTGAAAATTACAAAATTTACCACCAAATCCAAAAAGATTTACTTGAGTGCACCGGCGGACTATTTTGGTTCGTTCTACGAATTTTAAAATTAGATTCGACAAAACTCAAAGTTAATGTATTCGCGTCAAAAATACGTTCGTTAGTTAAAATAAATTTAAATAAGATAGCCAAGGTTGGTTTCTTGTTTGAGAATCTTTGCCATAAAATATTATACATTAATTATAATTATTATAAATTAATTCTACCTTTCGGTTGAAGAAGGCTCTTCTCATATTCAAATTGGGCTGCACGGGCATAGCTACTTTGTGCATCACCATGTTCGCAACAATGTCACTCAACACTCAAAAATTCGAACAAAACACTGCGCGTTACAGCGGACACATAACAAACAAAACGAAAAATATCGCGGGTTTTATTTTCCAACACCGGTGCTTTAATGCAGCAATGTTAGAAGATGGAAGTTTAAAATTCGTTGCAGCTTATAGCTTGAGGATCTGAACGGTACTATTACCAAAGTAGCCTGGCCGCAGTTTAGATATTAAGTCCCCTCTACTCCTGCGTTTGCCTGCTGGCCGAGCACACAGTCAATGCTTTAAGTTTAAGCAAATTTAATTCTGGGAATGTGCATGAGCACTATGGCAAACTTTTGCAGGTTTGTGTCACAAACTTTGTGATGTGCCCTAAGGACCGAAATAGTACATTAGGCATAATAACTTAATAGACGATAAATGTATCAAGTTTGATAAACGCGATTTTAGTCACGAGCAAGCTTGCGAGCGAGTGTTTAATTAAATGAGTGCCTAGAAAAGTTTATAAACGAGTTGCATACCATAATTTTTCTACGACTAATGCTTAATATTATCTAAAAAATTATTTAAATAAAATATATGTAGATATATGAAAATAAAGTAACCATTCCAATAAACATTTTTGACGTAATTTTCTCTATTAACATTGCCCGAAATTATTTTAATTAAACTCAACAATTATTGATACTAAAATATTAAAATAACTTCAAAATATTTTATACTTTGATTTTTTATAATTGCAAAATTTGATCACAAAGTATTAAAAAATCTCACACGGGAAATGTTAAAGGTACAAAAATCGACAGTTGTATTATTGGAATTCCCGTTAGAATTTCTAACTTGGCAATCTACCGGCGTTGAAATGTCAAATTTTTCTGTGTAAATCACAATTTATTCGTTGAAAATAGACTAACAACAATCATTTTACAGTTAAAGAGAAGAGAATGTTTTATAGGCACTGTTCGCAAAATTTGTAACGCTTTATCAGTTAAATCTAGTTAACTGCACTACTACGCCAAAATCAAAAGGTCAGTACAAACGTTAATAAAATATTTTCAATTATTGGCGTCAAGAAACTATTTAATACTTTTGTATTTTCGTAATGAGATAATAAAATAATTTTCACATTTAGTATTATTTTACAAGAAAGGCACTTTATTTTAACGATTGTATGACATTTGACAACTGTCAACTAACTTAAAACTAACTTCAGCCCGTGACTAAAGCACCATAAAGCCACAACTTGTCAATGGTCACTTCCAAACATTGTATGTCTCTTCTGTCCCGTTTCTTTGTAGTGCTACAAACAAGTGGGAAATAGCGTCAGTGAAAAATGCAAGTAACAGTTTTGTTGTTCTTAAAAAATACAAGTTGTGAAACCTATTAGTTCATAATATTTTTAATAGGAATAAGGGTTAAAACAAGCTGCTGAGCCACAAAAAAATCTGCCTAAAATAGCTAAAATCTGAAAATTAAAAAAAAGTCCATTCATTCAAAATACATTTTTAATCCCTTTAGCATGTCATATAACAATACGTGATTAAATTACAAAATCTCTTAAAACGAAACATAATAACCTATTGAGTTTTATAAATATCTATTTTGTTTATTAATAATTTTTGTTCAAGGTCCAACTTAATTTACATCCCAATACCCGATTTTCAGCCTGGTAAAATAACAACTGGCTTAATAGGACTGAATCTTCTTTTAAGTCAGCTCAATGTTCAATAAAAATAGGTAATAAGTTATTACCTATTTTTATTACTTATAACCCGATGTTCTGATAAAAAATCGTTTGGAAAACTTCATCTTTGCTTTACAAGTACCTACATAATTTACATAACTATTCCGTGTTATTTCGATAGTGTAGTAATTTTGTGACCTTACAAAATTAATAATTGACATTTATTTGTTTAGTAATTATTGAGTGATTGTCCTTCGTTGGTATAAGAGGAAATAGTTATCCATCAAGATATTGACAATGTGTAGAGGTAAACAAAAATGGCGACATACGCAATAGTAAAAGTAATATAAACAAATATTAATATTATTGAAAAGTCCTAATAGAATTTTCTTTTTAAGTGATACTTTAACAAAGCAAATTTTGTAATATTTCAAGGTAAATATTTTAATTATAATAATAATACAATAAATTGTTTATGTACACACACTATACATATATAAAAAAACATACGTAAGTTTTCGTTTATGTAGGGGTTAACCTTTGATTTTTAGCAAAAAAAGTTTATCTTTTCTGTACAGTAAATAAAAACAATAATTTACTTTCCAAAATATTGAAAACATTGAAAAAAGCTAAAAAATCAAAAAAAAATCAAAAAAGGTTAAACCTCAAACTTAAAATGTTTCGGGTAATTAAAAACTGCTCGACTTTATTCGAACAAAACTGGATAATAAAAAACTGCCCTTACATTTAATTTAAATATCGGTTTGTTGAATTTTTAAGGAAACTTGTCCAAAAGATGATGATCTTTTACTTTTTTTTAACTATTTTTAAATTTTTTTACCAGTTTTAAATTAAATTAAATAACTAACTAACTCTGTAATTGCTCCGTCATTTTCTGTATAGCTGTATACAATTATGAAATATCCTTTTTGTAGTACTTAGGTTATTGTATAGTTTTTTTGTCAAATTTAGTTTAAATTTTGCAACAAAAAAAAAGGATTATTCGTTATATTTTTATATCTGTAAAATATCCTATTGAAAACCGCATATTAAACCACAGAATTAGTTTACTATCACATCGCACATATATAATTTAAAACTTTAAAATTAGCTGTAGCCAATAAATAATACGCGATGATTCACTTGCAATAAAAAATCTCAATTTCATTTTTTAATTTTTCGTTCTGGGAAGTACGTGTGACACACTATACTGTACTGTATTGATTCAATTAGTTTTGTTTTGCATTTTACTATTACTTGAATTAGGCAGTGACTCATTCATTCTTAAAGCCTTACTATGAAACCACTATCTGAATTTTTTGCCAAAGTTAAATAATTTTTAAGATTTTTGTGGGTACCTATTATTTATATACATGATATGTGTGTGGTCACGGTCGAAATAAGGTAATAACCATAAAACCGATACGAAAGTAGTATAAGCGTATTTTTCGTATAATATGTTTTAATTATTTAATTTAACGCATTTATAATTTACAGGAAAAACACAAATTTCAGTGCTAAGTTTTCCAAGAAAATTTGAATAAGAATTTACGTCATGACGTGCACTTCATTGATAAATATTTTATTAATGCTAAAAATGTATACATAAATACTACTACGAATTTTTGTGATTTTTTAGGACCATTATTTTAAAATATTTTTTTAAATATTTATTTTAATTTATAATATCGAAAGGATCAAATCAAAATAAAAAAATTAACAGGCGAAGATAAAAACGTAAAGTTCATTATATTGGACAAACACTAAATATCTCTACATGACATTTTACAGGTATGTACTTTCTACATGGTCATCAAGTGAGAGAAAGTAAAAATAGTATTCGTAACAATGATTACGATTCATCAATGCGAAACCAAACAGTTTACCAAATCTTTTTCATTAACAAACCGTTTATTTCCCTAATCATCAATCAAATTTGGATTTTTTTTATTCAATGGCGAATTTTTTTCAATGTCGACTATTAATAGTAATTATGCCCAATTAATTTCGTTGAATTAACGGAACTACAAAATTATTATTTTTTTTGGGCGACATAACAAGTTAATTACGTTAAGTTTGCTTATGATTTTAGGTGATTTATTTTATAAAATTGTTTGATTAATTTGTTTTTAGATTTTTCAAGGAAGCTACACAAAATGTCATAATTTTTATGTTTATTAAGTTGTCCAAAACCTTTCTTAAAACTATATATTTAGAAAATTGTTTTAAAACAAAGTATAGTATAAACATGGATAAAACCTTGATAATAAGATTTCCTAACCAGTATGGCCTAGTGGCTTTGTTTAATGCAACCCTTAATTACATTTTAAAAATTGTATGTCCAAAAGTATAAAAAAATTACATAATTTAAAATGTTGATCAGTTTATAAAACTTTTTAATTCCATATAAAGCACGTGCCAGGGGGTCACTGTTTTTCCATATTAAATTACAAGTTCCAAGCAAGAAGATTCCTATTTGAAATTTATACCAATTTAGATAAGCATATATAAAACTAAAAATTAAAATACATCACAAAATCTCTTCACTTAGAATATTTTTTATTAAATATAACAAAAAAAGTAGTTTGTCTTAATAAAGTAAAGATCCCTATTCAACCAAAAATTGCTTTTATTACGGCAAAACGATCATTTTTATAAAAATTATTTATCTACAAACGCTGCTTTCAGCATTTGCATTAATTATAAAATAAATTTACGTTATGTTTATAAAAATAACACTCTTTCAGATGCAGAAACGCATTGATAAATACTTATTATTATTTCTCCAAAAAACAGTTCTATACCGTTTACAAAAACGTTTTATAGCATTATTGAAACCCTAATGGTATTATTCATAGAAATTTTGTAATATTTACATATCCCTTTTCGTTTAGAATAAAACTTTTTTTATATTATTAATTAAATTTATACAAATTTAACAACAAATTAATTGTTAATTCAATAAACTATTTTCATTGTAACAATGGTCACATTTTCAACCTACTGTTGGGTATTGGGTAGTTTTTTTTAAATAATTGTAAGGCATTAAAAAAAATTATTTTAATTTTCTTTTTGATATTTTTATCATGCTAGATTTTACCACACTTCACTCGCACAAGTGAAATCAATAAGATTATAACACAAACTTTGGGCGCCCTTTCGCCCTTTCCCCCTCTTTTTAAGGGAAATAACAAAATTTTTGTTATCATTGCAAAACAATAGTAAATATTAAAAAGTCTTTTTATAGCAATAAAATATTTTTGTTATTGTTCTTAACGTAAGCTATTAACAAAGATTTTCTAACTGAAATAAAATAAATTTGAATTACAACGATAGTAATTTAAAAAAGACAAATATGCCATAGTAAAATGAACAAATTTTACTATAACAACTGCGCGTTACTTTTTGTAAGGGCAATTCACACACAACTAGATTCAACAAAAACATTTTAAGTTCGACAAAGATTTAATATAAACATAAAGAATTTTTTATTGCCATGACAATATGATAACAACTATTACTTTGTTGGATGAACCTTTTTTTTTATAAAAGCTCAACATT